CGGGGGGGGGGAGGAGGGGGAGTCCATTATTTGAAGCATTTTGCAATTTCAATGGTGTATTATTCTCATGTCCATTTCAAACTATCAAGACCATGTCACTAAACACAAGGTTGGGAAGAAATACTAACACTTCTGTTTCTGAGCTGGTAAGCATTGCCTTCAAAACACAGACAAAAAACGGCTGAGAAGAAAGTGAGGAAAGTACTCTAGAACATTTGTATACTCCTCAAAACCGAGACAGTAGAGTTAAAACTAATCAAAGCAAGAATCAGACCTCTGAGTTCCTCCTCCCCACTTCATCCCCACAACAGTATGACACAGCCATGACTGCGCTGCTGTGGGGTGTCTAACAAGGCACTAAAAAGTGATGAGCAAGGGTAGCTTAGGTTGTGATAAACACCCATAGAAACACCCTGATTGGACAGGGACTGAAACAGAACTTGGCTGCCACTGCTCCTGCTCTGCTAAATGAGCAGGCTCCCCAACTGCAGGTCTCATTGCTCTCTGGCCTCCCATCCTGCTCCCCATCATATCTGTCCCCCCAACCCCAGTGAGAATCACCTTTTCAAAACACAAGTTGGATACCTTTGGAAATGAAAACTGCATGGCTGGATTGGGAGTGAGTGCACAGGTGGAGGAGAGCTATAAGACCACAGGCACATAAGTCAGGACATTGAGAACTTGGGTTCTTAGTTGTTTTTGAATGGGGTCCTGGGACAGAAAGGAAACACAAGATTGTACAGATGTGAAAATATATCAGGATATTAGGGGTCTGAAGACTGTCCCCCTCTCTCCACAGTTCACAACACCACGTAATTGATCATGGCTTTATTATTATTATTATTGTCATTACTTTGAAAGGAAGCTGGATATTTGATGAGAGATTGCTATTGAGGGACATAAAACTTTTTGAATGTCCCAGTGGCATTGTGACCACTGACTGCCTTGAAGACATCACTTCTGGCTGAATAAGTCTCCTAGGGAAATAGGCTCCTCCAGGCTTTCCTACACCACTACTTGCATATCTCTGAAGTTTGAGAATGAACCTGGGCCTCAAAGACACTCACAAAAAAAATGACATCACTCCAGACTACCCCAAACCACAGTGTTTCAGAAAACCTATACTAAGATCCAGACTCTTTTTTTTCAATTTCTTTATTGATTAAGGTATTGCATATGTGTCCTTATCACACCATAACCCCCCCGACCTCCCCAACTCATGCCTTCACCCCTCCGTTGTCTGTGTCCATTAGTTAGGTTTATATGCATGTATACAAGTCCTTTGGTTGATGATCCAGACTCTTTATCAGACATGTAATGCTCAACCTCCAGTTTTCTTAGAAATCAGTGCCCATAAAGACACTGCTTCCCATGGCCATGGGTGGAACGTGAATAATACCGGGCTTAGTGTGTACAGTGCATGTGCTCCACTATGGTAGTTAATACCTTAAACTCCTTAAGTGGAAATTTTATAAATATTAAAATAACTTTTTTCCTTGTTTAAAACTAAGGAATATAAAGAAGCAAGCAGAATATGAAAACCACCAATTACCACCCAGACAACTCAGAATTCTGCTCTTCATGTTTTCACTGTTTATGCACACACATATTCACACACATAATTTCCTCTAACGAAAAAAAATTTGATATATTTTGTTTAAACTCTTTCTTATAGCAATTTTATTTTTTAAAATATATTCTATGAAATGACAGAATTGCACATGATGTAAGTAAGGGATAGGCTAAAGTTGTTCATGTAGTGAAAACTGGAAATTACTCAGATAAGGAGGTGGTTAAATAAATCAAAAGACTTATCAATGCAATGAACTATTATACAGCTATCCTATCTAATAAAGAGGGACTATGCAAATTGACCATTACACCATCACTAAGATGGCAGTACCCAGTCCCCTCAGCCCCGCCCTAGTCCCCCAGTCCTTACAGCCCCACCAGGGTGGGTGGCAGGCGTGCAGTGTGGCCAACCCATCCTCAGCCCCCCAGCTGCTCAGGGCCGGCCAGAGGTGCAGGCAAGCTCAGATAGCAGCTGCCCAGCTGCCCAGGGCCGCCCAAGGCTCAGGTAACAAGGGCTGGCCAAGGCTTGCGTTGCCGGCAGTGGCAGCAGCAGAGGTGTGATGGGGGTGTCCCCTTCCCCTGATCGCCAGGTCACCTCCCACCCCTGAGGGCTCCCAGGCTGTGAAAAGGGACAGGTCGGGCTGAGGGATCTCCCCTCCAGTGCATGAATTTTCATGCACCAGGCCTCTAGTTTAAAATAACAGGCCAACTCTATGTGTAAATATTTATAAACATGAAAATATTTCTAAGTGAAATGCCATTTACAAGAGTATATATAGTATAGTCACATTTTCATTTATAAAGTTATACACACTCTTATATACATACACAAATTATATACATATACATATAGGGTTTTGAAAAAATATATGCCAAAATGTAAAAAGTGATTATGAGATAGAAAACAGAGGGTGAGACTATTAAGGGGAAAAATGACCCTAATAAGTACTTCAAGTATTTTATTTTTTTAAATATACTTTTATTGATTTCAGAGAGGAAGAGAGAGGGAGTGAGAGATACAACCATCAGTGATGAGAGAGATCATTGATTGACTGCCTCCTGCACATCCCCCACTGGGGATCAAGCCCACAACCTGGGCATGTGCCTTGACCAGGAATTGAACTGTGACCTCCTGGTTAATAAGTAGATGCTTATTAACACTGAGCCAACTACTTCAAGCATTTTAAAGTGAACATATTTTCTTAGCAAAGAGACAATGAGTTACTCAATTTTAAATGGATAACTAAAATGGGATTTGCTAGTGTACTTAATCATATGCTGTCACATATTGTCTACATTATTTAGATTGTAGCCTAATGCAGTTTTGTAGATATCTAATTCTCGAAATCTTCAAGGTTATACCAGCATTCCTTTCTGCTGAAAGCCTAGCTAAGGAGCTATTTAATAATAATGACTATAACTTAAATGTATTGAGTGCATCTATGTGCCAGGCATTATAACGAGGACAACCTTTAAGGTAGATACTAACTTTATTATCTCCATTTTATAGGAGTTTAGCAGAAGTTAGTAACTTGCCTACATTCACAAAATATTGGTAATGTGATTCAAAACTTCAGGTTTATTTGATATAGCAATCATGCTTTTAACATTATAATTCACTGCCTTCAGGAATTGAATCAGACAGTCTTACCTCAATTCCTGCATGTGGCATATTGAACCACTACATTACATTAATTTTTAATTCACATCAATTCTATTAATAAGTTATAATTTACAAACAATCATACGCACAGGTTTTCCAGTTTTGATGAGTTTTAACAAAATTTTAAACTCAAGTAACCATGATGTCAATAAAGACACAAAATGTTTCCATCAACCCAAAAAGCTATCTTGTGTCCTTTCCATCCAATTTCCTTTCATAGCACCCAGAGATACCGTATGTTCTAATTTCATTCACCATAGCTCAGTTTTGCCTGGTACATAACTTCAACCTTCATATACGAGAGGGGGAAGGAGGTGATCACTTCTTTCACTTAGCAAATTTTTTTAGATTCATCTGTGTTGTTGCATGGATTAGTATGCCGTTCCTTTTTCTACTTGAGTAATATTCCATTGTTGAATATACCATAATTTCTTTTTCTGTTTCTCTGTATGGCAGGATAGTAAGAAGTTAGGAAAATTCCTGGGCAAGTGGAATAGGGAAGCTGAGACAAGAAAATTAATCAAGGCCAGCTTGTAGCTAGCTTGTGAAATGCAAGACCTTATCTCCCCAACCAAGGACACTTGAGAGAAAATGGTTCATACATAGCTTAAATCACCCTG